CAACGCTCCACTCTCTCCATGCGGTACTGCTGTATGACAACACCTCAGTTCTATAGCACTAGGTGAGGGCAACGAACGCCCTCAGAGCATTGGATTCACTGCTGGCCAATTCCCTGTCCTTCCCCATGCAGTTTGCATAAGGATACTATGTAAATTCACTACCCTCGCCGCAGACTCACTCCTCTTTAAATATTTATAAAAATGGCACTTCACGAAAGTTGAAACACTAGTAAATGTTTGTCATTATTTTGTCTTTTAAGAATAGACCAGAAAAAAAATTGACTTAGTCTGCTTTAGATGCACATTCCTTTATTTCACAAAACAGCCATCCAGTGATAACATTAGGAACTAATTTCTTCAGCACAGCAGCTAGCCCAGGTCATAATCATATCCTTGCAGGGTCACTTGGAGCCTGTGAAGTCAATGGGTGGGAGGGACAGGTCCCTGTCTGGATAGAATCAGAACATAAATTTTCTTTTAAACTGTGGGACTAATTCATCTAATGAAGTAAAGGTCGAGCTTATCTGATCAGGCAGCCTGCCAGGAGTTTTGGGCCTGATGACAAAAAAATCGCCCCCCTTGCAGCTAAGCCGTGGTCACCACATCTCTATCTCATCGATCAAAAGATTTTGTGACCAACTTGCGACTGTCCTGCTTCCTGAAGTTCAGTACTAGTAATAGTACAACAATACATCTGTAAGGAAATGTGAAAGGTTTTGTTTGCTTTACTCTACTTATTCAATTTTTCAGAGTCTCCACCAGAGGGGGTCAGTTGAGTGTTTGGATAGGATTTCGAGGTAGTGGAGAAGGTAGATGGGATATCACCTATGTGTAATTATTTCGACGTGATTTCCCCCAATAAGGTCAGATAATCATACCAAATCTAATCTAAACTATTTCAGATTTATTCGATTTGTTATCAACAGGGGTGTTTCTGACTCTATTTAAAGGTGAAGTGTTATGTTCCAAGGAGTCAGAATACAAAACAATACCTGCTCAGTAGTGAGGCCTTTCTGTGCCTCGCATGAGAGTAAGACGGCAACTGGAGCATCCTCCAGCCAGGTTTGGTTATTAAAATCGTATACAAACAGACACAATAACAATTTTCTAAATCTTCTTTTGTGTATTGCACAAAAGAATACAACCAAAATAGATAATGGTCAATGTTTTTATTTCCTTTTAACCATCCACCATGAAGCAAGAGCTGGATAAACTCTGTGTCCACCTTGTAGTGAAGGAGGCGCAACCCTTCAGACTCGTGTATAGGGCTTAGTTACAAATCTTCTTCCCAATTATTTCATTTTATCATCAAGCAATTACTTTTGTATTACTACAGTCATTTATTTGTCCTACATTGCAGATATATATAAATTCAAATAATTTCATTCATAAAATGAAAGGGGTCTCTCTCTCCCTCCCTTAGACTCTGAAGCCATGGAGAAAGACCTGTTTAAGTCTGCCATGGAGTAAACCAAGGCGAAAGTTATAAAGGTGCCTGCTGTTAGCCTTATGTCTATATGTGGACAGAATTTGCTGTCTTTCAAACTGACATTTCTTTGTCGTCATTAGAGGAGGCCAACATTGTCAGAGTGAAAAGGAGAACATTTCCGCCTCCATTAATTGTCCTCATAAAAATGCTGGAGTAAGGCCTTCAGGAGGAGATGACAAAGCCTGCACCACCAGCTACTCTCCAAGTTTGAGACCACCTCATCAGGGAACTACGGCAAAAAATTCAAGTTTTGCAATCCATGCAATCCATGAGCATTGTATTTCTATCTACCCTCCTTGACCCCAGTTCAAGGTGATCTTTTTTTTTTCCTTCAGCCCCGCTAAAGCCAAAGAGGTCATTAAAAGATTGACTTTGAATGTGCCACAATTTTGTTCCAAACAGAGCTTAGATGAAACTCCCCCTAGGTTTCCACTTCAGATGATACCTTTAGAGGTAATCAATCTATTTTTCATGTTGATCAGTTATTTCTATCAGAGCACTTGCAAACATTTACTTCTCTCTCTTAGGTAGCAAGCTCTGGCGTTTAGATGAAAGTGTGATGGAGGCAAGAAAATCACAAAATATAACTGCAGATGCCACCGTTGAAGTGCTACATTCAGAGCTCAACATAACAGGAATGGAAAATCCACTAAAGCAGGGGTCTTCAACCTTTTTCAGGCCAAGGACCCCCAAACTGATGACGAGATGGAGCGGGGACCCCTTATTATATATATTCTATGAAATAGTGTTCTATCAAACTGCTTCAATAGTCACTCTGTTACAGATGGAGTAATGTAACTAAAGTAATCCCTCCCTGGGCTATTAAAGTATTTCTGATTCCTGGTGGATGGGACAGGCGTTGTGAATGAAACGGTGCCCAGCTTGAAAGAGCTCCTGTGTGTCGCTGAATGTGTGCATTGATGACTGAAAGACATCTTCTGCCTCCATTTATCTGTTTACTACAGTGTGTTGAATTCATGGTAATGTGTATTTAGACATTTCAATTAGTGGAAAAAATTGCAGGGGAGAATATAAAAAAAAACTAATCAACCAAAGCTTTGCGACCCCCATGCAGTACCTCCGTGGACCCCCTGGGGGTCGCGGACCCCCTGTTGAAGACCTCTGCACTACAGTACTGGGTGGGGGAAAAAAACTACAATACACTAATTAATAAAGATGTGTTTTTTATGCAAGTGTTTTCAAAGGCCAGAGGAATAGTGTCAAAAAATGGAATAGATTAAAACCCAGCATTAGAAACATTTTATTCTATTCTATTTTTTTAAATAAAAGTGACAGGTTTTATACAGGGTGTAGTAAAGTGAAGGAAATTTTGGCTTTTTAAAGGTAGTTAAAGGTAACAAACAGAACTTGACTTGGTAGTGAATTGTTTTTGTCATCCCTTCAATATATTTTGACTTTTCAATTGAAGCTGACTTTTTTTGTTTAAAGTCAATTTAATCTATCTCATAATTATCTGCTGTATTGGAACCTTGTTTATAATGTATGTTTAAACTAGATTCATTTTTGCGCCTCACAATGGGAAAATATAAGTTTTCCGATATTTGGCTCTGTAAAACTTAAAGTTATATTGGATGAGATTCCCTCATTTAAACGTCTATTAAATGAACAAAACTAAAAGAGAAGCTTCTAGGATCTGTGGCATGCGGCGACTGCAGGTGGGGGGCGGGGTACCGACCAATCTCAGACACTCTGTTAGTGGGAGAAACACAGGTAAGTGACCATGATCATCTGACAGAAGATCATTATCTGAGTTGGTCACTTACCTGGTCTAACAGTCCAGTCCAAGAATGTCCCCAGTGCTGCAGTCCCAGAGGTCTTGCAGGAAGCCGATCCTGATCAGAGATTCAGAACAGACAGAACAGGCCGGATCCAGGCTTCCAGGCCTCGTAGAGCTCCCAGGCAGGTTCAGAGTCCAACAGAGTCCGGAAGTGTGACCAGGTGGTCATGCACAGGATCAGGTGCAGATGAGGAGGCTCAGTGGAAGAGGGTAGCAGAGACAGGACGTGGAACCAGAACTTGATGCAGGACCTTTAAACTGGTCTCCACCTTGGAGCCAGGCTTACTTGGATAAAAACTGAACCTCCCTGCATACAGGGGAAAACCCAGAGGGCTCAGCAGCGGAGGAACTGTGGACGAGCAGGAGACAAGACAGACACAAAACACTCTTTCCACTGGCTGCCAGGATCCAAGACAAGAACAAGGTTCCTGGAACAGAAAAACAAAAAAATGATCTGGCCCCAAATGCTCAGGCTGAACAAAATATAAACCAAAGGAAACAGATGAGAGGAATAGATAATTGAGGCAGGGAGGGAAAACAGGTGAAAGAAATAACCAATAAATGGAGAGCAAACAGGCCAGATCATGACACTGAGCTGCTTGCAGTAAACAAAGGACATGATAGGATGCAAATTTCAGGAAGTTTTAGACACTTCCAAACATTATCACAGAACACAATCCAAAGCAGATGAATATTTGAACTTACATCCTTGTTTACCTCGTCTCAAAGATCAAAAATCATATGCACAATATCATTTTTTATATAGCCATTTTTGCTGTACTAAAAAACATCCATCAGGTGGCAGCATTGGAAAAGCTGCTGGAGCAGAGAATCTTCAGCGGTATTTTTCCAAACCATTTAGCTTTAACCCAGAGGCAAAATTATGAAAAAAAAAAAAAAAAAAATATTGACCAGTATTAAAAACAGATTTAAACAGTAGAGTTTTCTCTATGACTATTTGAGTGCTGGTTCTTGAATGAATGCCATCCTGGGCAAATCCTTTAGCCCCGCCCCTCCAAACAAATGCCCATTTAGAAAGAACAGCTTTCTTTATGCTGCTTAAAATTAGATCACCTTACAGGCCAATAGCTGCACAACAAAATGTTCCCCTTAGTCTACAGATCAAAGCCATCTGGACTTAGTATATGATTAAGACCAGATATTTTGCTTTTTAACAGAATTTTTTACTAGAAGACTAGAATATAAAAAAATAGTATTTATAATCCAGTGTTAGGATTATAGTGTTTCGAAAGAGAAAAGTATAAACTCAAAGAGGAGCCCTTAAATTGCGTCACACCAACTTCCCAAACAAGCCACCCACAGAGCTACCAGTTTCCTAAGTATACCGTGCAGCCAGTACCCTGAATAATGCCACATCCTCATTGAAGCTCGCCTTTTGTCTAGACAATTACAAAGTTAATATAAATCCTTTATTTCATGACCCACAATTGTAAACGTTCTCATAAGCCAAATGCTCGAAAAAAATAAATCAGAACAAGTTTTTAATGGAAAATAGAGCTTATCCAAATGCAGCCATATTTTTAACTGATAAAAGGGCTTCATGATAAGACAACCCACACAAAACCTGTTTTATGAATGGATAGGCTGTGTTATTTGAAGAGTATCCCTGATTTAGGCAGATAAGGAAAACAGTAAAATGCTGGGTTGATGTTTCCACTCGGATAAAAAAAAAAAAAAAAAACAGTCAAGACATTAAGTGTGAAAAAAGTTTAATTTTCCTTGTTTAAAAATCAACATTGACATTTCACATCATATTCACTTTAACCTGTTCAAACCTCCACAACACTAGTAACAGTTTATGTTCATTATTCTGTAGTGCCCAAAATCATAGCCAAGGTGGCGACAAAAACGACGTATTCTTTAAAATCAACAGAACCGTCACCATCTGCATCCAGCGCCTTCATAAACTCATCCACCTCTTCCTTTTTATCGGCCTGCAAAGACAAATATTCACCTTTTAAAAAAACAAATCTTTAGGAAATCATGGCACATTCCTTTAAAGTGATAAGATCAGTTTACTTACTAATCCAGGAACCTCAGCTTTCAGCAAAGTGGCAAGTTCCTTCTTCGACAGAGAACCCTTGTCTCCTTCTGCTCCAGCATACTTTTGAAAAGTTTGCTTCAGGATTCCAATTGCACCCAGAATGTTGGACATGGTGGCTGGGATAAGATTGAGTCACAATTAAGGCATTTAATTTTTGCTGTTGTAGTATTAGAAATCTTAAAGGTTTAGGCTACATGGGCGTTGGCTCTTTCCTTTGTGCCCAGCCACGCCCTTTGCAAAAAAAAAAACCTTATGCCACTTTGCTAGTGTGCAATGATTCCTATCTGCATGGGTTGATCAAACCACTCTTGCAACTGCTGGTTTTAATCAGCTAATGGCAGTACAACAAACCAGGAAATGGCTACCATTAGTAAGCCTCTTTAAATACACTTTCATGCAAAACAAAATCAGGCATCTTAAAGATGATAGTCAGTATACTTTTTGTTAAGTTTGTTTGGTTACATGCTTCCCTCCATTTCATCAGCATCTAAAACTTAAGCTTAAAAGTCAAAGTTTAATGTGCTTTCAACAAAAATTTATACATTAATTCACATGAAGCCTAATCTGTAATCTACTATAAATGCAATTTGAATTTAGACTTAAAAGAGTTGATTTTCTTACCGGTTTATATGGAGGTGTTGTTCAGCTTGAGGAGGAAAAAACAACTGATGTGAGAGCAGAGCACAGACAGTCTGTTTTAAACACAGTTTGGGACACACCCACCTTCAAACTATAAACCCCTCCCATGGTGCTTTTCCGTGATTGTGTTGTTTGTTGTGGGTTTTGCTCTTTTTTTCTGTGTGTGTGTGGGTGTGAGTAGAGTGTTACAATAATCTTTTTGTAGCAACAAGACAAGTTAAGGGAGGATTTTTAGATACTTCAGGGGAAGTAGCGGCCCAGATTGCAGAGATATTTTAGGGTTAATCAAGTGGTTAATTGGTGAACTAGAACTTAAATCGTTTGTTGATCTAGCCTTGAGTGATGACAGTGAGCGCCGTAAGTGTTTGATTACAAATAAAAAGAAGAAAATGAAGAAAAAGCAAGCAAACAGCAAGCTTCAGCTCAGCTTCCACATGCAGGTTATTCAGGGGCGCACGAGGACAGAACTACAATCACGCGCGCGCTCACATCCTGCTCTCACATTCCCTGCAGCTAACCACACCCTCTTGGTTTGTTAGACTTTGGACTTTCTGACAGGGCAGCCGACAGACACTCCCATTTATCTCCAACAGAATTGCCGTTTTTGTCAGCACAGATCAGTAGTTTTATGTGTTTGCATACACATTATTAACGAATTTTTAAAAGTAAACAGTGCTGGTGGTTTTACACTGAACTTGAAGATTGAGAATAATCTGCAGAGGTATCTGCATCCCATTGTTTGACAAAATTGAATTTATTGCTTAATTGACATTTATTGCTTAACTGACCATTATTCTATGGCGGTCAAAAGAACAAAAACACTTTATGATGCACTTAGAGACATGGGAAATGACTTGCTGAGGCTTTTCTATATCGAAATAAAGATAAGTTTTGTGAGTATTTTGTATTTTAAGAAAAACTCAAGTCATGTTGGAACTCTGCTTTTCCATCTAAACACCCAAAGACAAAGGAACACAGCAGAGTCGGCTAAATCATTTTAAGAGGTGCCTACAACAACAACAACAAAAAAAATCCATTTAAGACAAACACTCTAGTCCTCACTTAATTAGGGCAGCTAGCTGATGGAAAGATGCTTTTAATTTTATAAAAGAAACAGATTAAAATATATGAATATTTGGTAGTTTATGCCCCTTTTACCATGTTAAAGGGTCCTTCAACAGGGTTTTACTGTAACCTTCCTCTCTTATAATAGAAAAGTCTCTTTTAGTGCTGAAATTGTTCTCAACTGTTCAGACATGTTGTCGGAAACAAGAGGAAGTTACATTCTTCTTTCAATCTTCATCCGTAAATTTCGAGGCATAGCACCCTAGCCTACATTAAGGACACATGGGCGTTGACGGTTGCTTTACAACATGTAACATGATTTTTTTTTAAGCCGGTGGCTTTACAAGATCCATACACCTCGAGCAAAGTTCAAACTAATCGACAGACTGCCCTTGTTTGTTTATCAAGCCACACCATCTGTCTCCATTGCTGAATATGACTAAGCCACAGCTGGTTTTAATCAGGACACAAGCTCATGGTAGTACAAAATACCAGGGAATTGTTTACTGTCACATGAACATACCAACACCCCAGAAATAAAAAAAAAGGAACAAACAAGTTTCTTTCTTTTTATGCATTCTTTAATTTTGATTTATATCATTTAAAGACAAAATGGCATTTGTCTTGTCAGTATACCAACTTTAGTTAAGTCTCATTTTCCCAAGGAGCAAATGATGAGGCAGATCAAGCTGCATAGTTGTCTTGGCTGGTTTAAAATCTATTGAGGGAAAAGAATGAGTTATATAAGTGAAAAAAAAACTCAGATTGAACTGCATTTAGTCTCAAAACTGCAGTTGCAGCTGTGGTTTCTGTATGAATGACACCCTTGACAAGGACAGTACTTCATCCACACTTCGGATATGCTAATCTCACTATTTGAGAAATTCCTGAGTTACTGGGTGTGTACAGATTACAGAGATTTACCAAAATTAGACAATAACAGATTGAAAAACGTTGCCTCGCCAGAATGAGAGTCTGTTTCATCTGCATTCAAATGGAAAGGGTGGGATTCTTTTCATTAATAGGATAAAAGCATTGCCACACTCTTCCATGCATCAAATCTTTATGTTGTTGGTTGTAGTATTCTTGGTAGGTATTTTCTTATCACATTGATATTGTCCAGTCTACCGGAGTGTTGTTGTTGGCCATCTTTTTGTGACTATAATGGACATAGCTTCTGATGGTTACTTCCAGCCCCCCAATGAATCAACACAGATTTCAGATAATCTCAAACTGCTGTCTTTAACATAACATTACGTCACTCTATTTCTGTTAATTGACAACAGTTAATTGATCGACTGATTGACAGATGGAAGTGTCATGCACCATTACATGGTTCCCATCCTACATAAGCGTACAAGACATAATACAACTTTTTTGCAAATTTTAGGGAGTTTTTCCGAATTTTGCAGTGTCCATAAAGCTTGTAATATACTATGGAGTATTAGGGCCAGGCTAGAGATTTTTTTATTTTTTTTAATCTTGAGAATAAAGTCATAACATTACGATAAAATTGTTGTAATATTAGGAGAATGAAGTCATAACATTACGAGAATACTATTACGAGAATGTCATCACACCACAACCTGTTTCAGAAAGAAAGCTTCAAGCTCTGACCAGCATGTGACGGTGTAGGTACCAGATCTGCTAGGGGCCTTGCCCCTTCTTATGACGTAAACATATGGCAACTCCACTCGGACAAACTGTATTGCAACAGTTTCTTAAGGATCAAATCTCTTTTGGAGTCTAAACATATTACTTATATTTGCTATTATTTTACATTTCATTAATAATCTAAAGTAGCCAAAAGTAGAAAACAATCATTATAAGTCTTGACAGAAACTACTGCGTTATAAGATTAAACTCTGCCATTTAACAAGATGACAAGAAAAAGTCTCAGCTTATTTTTATTCTTTTTATTAAGATTGAGGACAGGAAGGAAAAAATGGAACATCTCAAAAAGGACTTTTGTAGAGATTTTAGAAAAATAAAAAAGTTATTTTACTTGTAGAAAACGAACGGTTGCTGTTGACACAGTTAAAAATATTGTAGCGTAATATGGCTAACTGGCCGAGAAAAAAGAGGCTAACGTGTTAGCTACTGAGCACAGCTAGCTACAGTGCTACCCAGCTCTCCCCCTTTATATCATGGTCTTGCAGTTACTTTGTTCACCATAAACAGATTTTTTATTGATCAGGTAAAACCTAATTGGTCATTAGACGCGCTAACACTAGATGCTCCTGACTCGGCACACCGACGCTGTGCGATGTTATTATTACCATAATGTTTTACATCATGTGGCAACGTTCTAAAGGGCCTAACAGATGCTTGCTTTCACAAATGGAGCAGTACAGCTATCGCCTGGATTTATGCATGTAAATAGCCTTATTATAATTATGCAGGGAGTATTACAGATCACATGGACACTGCAATGTAAGTAGAACAGGAAAGGTAAAACAGGAAAAAGGAGAATAGATAGAAGAAAGAGGAGATAAAAGGGAGACAACGATAAAACGTCTTCAGTCTGCTTCATTTATAGCACCACCAATGCACTGGCAGGCCAACGCGCCAGCCAGCGGAGAGAGGCAGAATGGGGGGAATGTGCTCCGCACTTAGCGAAGACTTGAGATTTCCTTGGGAGAGGGAACAGCTCAGACCCGAACCTGACAAGTAACAAAAAAAAAAAAAAACTGTCTCAATCGCCCCCCTTGCAGCTAAGCCGTGGTCACCACATCTCTACCTCATCGATCAAAAGATTTTGTGAGCAACTTGCGACTGTCATGCTTCCTGAAGTTCAGTACTAGTAATAGCACAACAATACTTCTGTAAGGAAATGTGAAAGGTTTCGTTTGCTTTACTCTACTTATTCAGTTTTTCAGAGTTTCCACCAGAGGGGGTCAGTTCAGTGTTTGGATAGGATTTCGAGATAGTGGAAAAGGTAGATGGGATATCACTTATGTGGGATTATTTCGACGTGATTTCCCCCAATAAGGTCAGATAATCATACCAAATCTAATCTATTTAAGATTCATCCGATTTGTAATCAACAGTGGTGTTTCTGACTCTATTTAAAGGTGAAGTGTTATGTTCCAAGGAGTCAGGATACAAAACAATACCTGCTCAGTATTGAGGCCTTTCTGTACCTCGAATGAGAGTAAGACGGCAACTGGAGCATCCTCCAGTCAGGTTTGGTTATTAAAATCGTATACAAACAGACACAATAACAATTTTCTAAATCTTCTTTTGTGTATTGCACAAAAGAATACAACCAAAATAGATAACGGTCAATGTTTTTATTTCCTTTTAACCATCAACTATGAAGCAAGAGCTGGATAAACTCTGTGTCCACCTTGTAGTGAAGGAGGCGCAACCCTTCAGACTTGTGTATAGGGCTTAATTACAAATCCTATTCCCAATTATTTCATTTTATCATCAAGCAATTACTTTTGTATTACTACAGTCATTTATTTGTCCTACATTGCAGGTATATATAAATTCAAATTAATTCATTCATAAAATGAAAGGGGTCTCTCTCTCCCTCCCTTAGACTCTGAAGCCATGGAGAAAGACCTGTTTAAGTCTGCAATGGAGAAGACCAATGCGAAAGTTATAAAGGTGCCTGCTGTTAGCCTTATGCCTATATGTGGACAGAATTTGCTGTCTTTCAAACTGACATTTCTTTGTCGTCATTAGAGGAGGCCAACATTGTCAGAGTGAAAAGGAGAACATTTCCGCCTCCATTAATTGTCCTCATGAAAATGCTGAAGTAAGGCCTTCAGGAGGAGATGACAAAGCCTGCACCACCAGCTACTCTCCAAATTTGAGACCACCTCATCAGGGAACTACGGCAAAAAATTCAAGTTTTGCAATCCATGCAATCCATGAGCATTGTATTTCTATCTACCCTCCTTGACCCCAGTTCAAGGTGATCTTTTTTTTTTTTCCTTCAGCCCATTTTTTGTGTGTTTTTTATTTATCTGTTTTTTTTATATAAAAGTGACAGGGTTTATACAGGGTGGGTAAAGGTAGTAAAGTGAAGGAACTTTTTGTTGGGATCTGGAGGTCTGTCCACTTTC